GAGATTAGCTACTGGGAAAAGCCCTTGCACATGCATTGGAAATTTGGAATATATTGTTTGGGTTGAAACTTGAAATTTGTTTACTTGCGTGGATATATTTTGGAAACTATAGCGTAGAACTTCACGATGTTTACGTAGAATAATATTGTTATCATCTTCTCGCATGTTCAACAAACAATCGGTGTATATAAAGTGCTAAAGCAATGCAGTAGGCGAAATTTAAATTTTTGTTTATAACAATGACAAACAATCAATCGGGAACCAGGATATGTCCAAATGTTGCTCTTGATACTTCCTATATGCCATGACTTCGACGAAAACTTCTAAAAGATTAAGTTCTCATTAATTGTCATGTAGAAAAGTATAGCCAAGTTAGAGTATATTAAACGTTTCGAAGTTTGGGCGAATTGGAAAATTCATCACGGCGCAATTTTAATACAAGTTTCTCGGGTTTGTGTTGTGTTTACAGTTTACATTCAGAAGTGGTTGCTCAGACAGCAAATTAGTTTACTTTGAAGCTAATATTTCGCTTTCTAAGCCACAGTATTATATAAAATTTTCTGTCTTCCGAGTTCTGTTATCTTATAAAGATAAACCGTTCAAATTTCAGTGAAATATATTCGGCATTTGATGCCGTCTGGCTAAGATTCATACAGTATAAATATGCCAATCCTGTCCGCGTTTTAAATATATTAAACCGAACATCTTTAATATCCAAATCTGATCATTAATGGTGCATTTTATTACCTGGACAAGTATCAGTATCTTTAAATTCAATTTATGTGCAATTTTGACCAAAATTCAACCGACGACTGCTTTCAAAATATATATTTATATTTATTCCGCTCGTAAATCAACTGACGTCACTTTCCAGAATTTGGAAGGTAAATTCTGATTGGTCGACGTAGCGGAATTCAGTTTGGCGCTCGGGTAAGCAGACGGTAGTATTTCGTCGCTTGGCGTAAGAACTACAACGTCTGTGAGCAGGCTATCGTTGCAATAGAAGTGTTGATAAAATATTGCAACAATTTATTACCTAACATTGATTAATTCATTTGGTCAAAAATTGCTCAACTTTCTGTTTACTGGACATGCTTGTTCCCAATTGGTCAATCATTAATTGAAACGTAAAGCCATTGGTTAATTCAAACACGCAGGAAGTTGATCAATTTTTCAACGAATGAATTGATCAGCTCTAAGTAATAACAATAAGCGTACTGTAGTAACACCTTTTTACAACACTATCAAGAGTAAACAGTATAGTCATACTGTATATAGTAAAGCAACATATAAATAGTAATATATTACTAGTAAACAACAACTTAATTTTTCCATTTAATACCAAATGTTCATTGAAATATGAAATAATTTTTCATAATTTTCCAAATAAGGCTCCTAAGGCAAAATATGCCGGCACTCTGGCTCCGGTGCACAGCCCTAGTGTCTCGAAGGTTGTGGGTTTGATTACTACCATGCTCAAGCAAGCTTTTTAGCTTGCCTGGTGTGGATGCACACTCAGAGTAACACCACAAACATACACAAAAAGTATGAATATGGATGTTGTCCCTTAAATTCACTTGGTTTGGGAACTACTTATCTTTCTTTTGATCCATTGCCATATTTTTTTTGTGATTGTCAAGCCAAGCAAAAAAGTTTTGCATGTCCATGCCAACAAGAGGTGATGATTTGATGTTGGTGAAGGCATCATAAGATCTTCCTGGTGATGTGCTAAACGGTTGTAGCTTGCTTAAGTCCTTTATCATTATGTTCTCATCTTTTTGTGATGATCTGGAAGTATGAGCTGTTGATTTCTTGTGTAGCCCAGTTTGAACGTCGAATTTTTGTCACAATTTGCTCAACTCCAGTAGCAGATTTGGATGCTCTCACAATTGCAGCAGACGTTTTGTTTGGCCCCATTCCAAGAACAATGTTTTTACATGTTCGGTTACATATTTCCTGGGCAGTGTCACACTCAATATTTTTGCCTTTTCCTCCTGCCCAATTTGCAAATCTTCCCCATCTAATTCTATGTGCCATTTCTTCTGAAAACAGTGCTTTCTTCTGGGCTATACTTGTTACCATTTCAACTGCATATTTTGAAAATGACCCGTGGCTCTTAAAATATTGCAGCAGTCTCTTTGTGTTTATGTCGTTTTTTTCACCATCTCCTTCTGCACATGTGTCTTTCATTTGCATCAAGAACACATTCAGCTCAATTACGTTTAAGCCATAATATCTGCATCAAAAATATACAGTAGCTTGCTAATGTGTTCATTCACGACAGTTTAGTAAAATGTCCCTTACTAAATGGGAATCACAGATTACTTGGTCGTATGCTCAAACATTATTGGAAACTCTCAAATATAAATAAACTTTCTCTCTTGCAGTCTCGCAATTACTATAATATCACTAAGTACATTCTCACACTTCTTCAATCATACAATGTTATAAATTTATTAACGCCAAATAAGGTATTAATGTAATATTAAAATTTAGCAGGGCAGTCTCTGACAACAGTTTGTATAATCAAAACAACATCACACTGTATATGACTTTTCTTCCTAATAATGTGAAATAACTATCATTGTATACTCTTCTTAGTGAAACCAAAATAATATATATTGTTTGATCATGTTATGATGCATTTTCGTATAAATATGGACTTGATATGGACTGATGATGAGGACAGAATGATGTAAATTTTCATTTTCATTCTAAAATATTTAACCAAAATATTCAACAGTTGGTTGAAACATTATATTATTATTATTATTATTATTATTATTAACAGTAACTTCACTAAAAGTCTAACAACCATATGCATCCATTTATAATTTTTTATCATTGAGAGCACAAAACAAAATTATGAAGTTGATTTTAATCTATTGAGTGCCAACATTTTCCACTCGATGATAAAATAGTGAAAGCATTGGAGAGTATAATAATATAGTAGGCTATATGAGGGAAAATTGCCTTTTGAATGGTTAACAGGATTGCATTGAGTGGCAGCAATTTCCCTTGATTCATAAAATTACGTTTTGTTAGACAGTAAAATAATGAAGTATGTGCCATCAGGGAGTAATGCAAATTACTATACATAAAAGTTTAACTTGTTCATCTCGTGTATTATGTACTGTATTTTAAATTTTTCAGTTGTGATATCTGACAATTTCAGCAATTATGTATGAGTATATTTTACAAACAAACATATTGATTAATGGGTGTATAGTATGTGTCAAAATTTAAATTGCAACGTAAATTGTTCGTGTAAATTTAAGCTTGGAAATAAGCATACTGTCATGATGATTGTCTGGTACAAATACGTGACTTCTTATGTTTTAATAGGCACACTTTTGATTGTCACTTTGTCCAGTTTGCATTATTCAGCGTTTCAACCCTAAAAAATTTCCGTATCTTAATCACTCAAAATTTCTTCTATTTTTTAGAAAATTAGACAAAACTAATGGAATTTCTCTGTCCTTAAAGTTGACAGGCGTGAAGGCCCCCCAAAATTATTCCCAGGCTTTTGTGTAACATGTTATGTAGCAGTCAATTCCAGCAGTGCCCATATTTCCATAGGCGTTGACTGATACATTGTTATTAAGCATTAATGCAAGTCACTCACCTTATCCTGTCAGCTTTGTTATTCTCAATGGGCTGTAAGAACATATCAGGTGGGAAATCTTCATCAAGAGCGACCTCTTCAGATGTGGGTTTCGTGGCATAATCATGGTCTAAATTTACCATCTCAGTTATCTTTTTTGTCTGCTCTTGCCACTCTTTGAATTGGTTTATCGCCTCTCTATCTGGATCAGCCATGACAAATTCGTCAATGAATTCACCTACAACTTTGTCAAAATACTCTCTCTTCTTGTTTAATGACTGATGGGCAATGCCAGCTGGAGGAGTATGCTTTGTTGGTGTGCCACACAGATCTTCCAGACTCCAAAATTCCAGGGCTGCTACGCAAATATAAGCCCTTCCAAAGCTCAACAGAAATTGTTCACACCCTTCGTATGACTTGGTGACTTTCTCTGCAGTTACGTTCTTTCTATCGAGCTTCTCTCTGAAATTTTTAATTGTTCCAATTTCACGTACATAACTTGCTTTGTACAGGTGGTCATATACAAACTATAAAAACAAAATACGTACAGAGTTATTGTAACTCGGTGATGTGAACTACTGGATATTGTGCAGCGCAAATTTTTATGATGTTTCTAGTACAAATAGTTAATATATGATCATAGGCATAGTCATTATCTATGTTTTTTGCTTACATTCTATTGGATATGTTCTGACGAGTTAGGGGCTTTGGTGCATTCGTCAGAGCAAACGCCTTTCATCACTAAGATTGTTTGTTCAATTCTTGCCACGGACTTACGCGCCGAGTCGTATGTAGAGTCAGTCAAATCCCTGCCAAAAGTCGTTGGTTTTCTTCAGATGATCAGGTTTCCTCCCACAGGGAAATACAGGATGGGTTATGATAAACAAAGTTAGGCTAAGTCTGTACTTGATATACTGTAATCAATCACTATAGAAAGGTTTTGATATCAAGTACAGTACTTCCCCTGTTGTGGTATATAAGTTTATTTAAATACATATGAAGAGTGGTGTACAGTATTATGAAATAATACCTAAGCTAAAAACAGTTGTATTGCATGTAACAACAAACTTCATTCATTCATTATTTGCCTTCATTATTTTTAGAGAGAATCAAAGAATGAAAACCATTGTAAACAAGTTATCTTCTTGTATATTTATAAACACCGTACAATTTTCTAACTAAATATGGATTAACTGAAAGGACGCATCATCATATAATTACCTGGACAAAAGCCATTTTTGCATGGAAAATCTCTATGATAAATGGACTGCAGTGATCGAACCTATCTTTTGCAGTATGGCATCCTCTACGCAGATCTTTTGCCCTTGCGAAACGAACCCTCGTCATCTGATCTCCACCAAATGGTACCTCGATGTCTTTCATGTGGTCCTCACCGTCATGTTTTTTTAGCATGAACACCAGGTTGATCAGGGCGTGATGCCACACCAGACAAGCTGACATTCGAAGCGGCTGCTGGTTTTGTACCTTTTGGAATTTCGATCAATTCAGCTTTCGAATATATATCTTCCAAGGTATTTTCATAAGTAGAGAGGATATCAACTACGTCATCGTACTTCTTTTCTTCCTTGAACTGCATGGATAAAGGTATGATTGTAGACTTCTGCGCCATTTCATTTGGATATTTACTTTCTATGTGCGCGGGGATAATTAACTTCATGAAGGAAAGAGAAGTGATGCGATCTACCAGAATCCGTCCAACTATTACTTTAAAATCTTCCCGGAGCTTTCGTGTTTCCGTGTTGTCCAAGAGGAACATGGAATTTGGTACAGTGAGAATATCGCGTTGTGGTGCAAATTTGGATGAACCTTCGCAAGGTACCCTTTCGACAATGATGTTTGAAGCGAAGTAGTGTAGATCTCTATTTTGTTCTGTCTTACGCATATTATGCACTCGGATTTTGTAGTCCCAGTTATCTCCGGTTCCTTGGAGCTTTTTTCCTTGTTTCACCTCGTTTACAACATGATCATTATTGTGGGTGGCAATGTGGTCGAGCAAATTGACTTTACTTTGATGCGATAAAGAAAACCCTACTTTCTGGCATCTTTCTATAAGCTGAGTAAAAGACTGAAGGCAACGTGAGTTTTTAAACAAGCATCATTGCCACTTAAATACATTCAAGTTTTAGTGTTATCTGCATGCTACGGATGCATACATTGTAAATTGTACAATAGCTGAGATCTATTTCAATTTAATGGTTAGCACGACACTATAGGAATAGTTTATGTGATTGATTATAATAATGAAATGCCATAAGGATTAGATTTTCCTACTAAAAAGCGAGTCATGAACTCTAATTCCGTTTGTTTATGGTAACCAATTACAAAAATGTTCATTTTAGCAAAAGTACAGTAAAAATATTTTGGTCGTATTATCAGGGTGGCTGCATTAACGAGGTGGTCGTAATTCTTGTAAATTATGTAATTTTTTACGTTTCTATAGACCTTAGAAGTAATCACGTTACATCACTGTCAAAAAATGAATACTTGATTACGTGTATCGCACATTACATTGCGTATGCCAAATGCATTATGCATGTTTATATGGAATGAAAAATTGAGTGACGTAAGAGTTTCTATGGTTTATTAGACATACAGATAAGTGTATGCATGACTATATAATTATGGACATCTTAATATTAAGGACACGCGACGTATAACCTTGTCCCCAGGGTCTGGTAAAAAAATTTTAACTCGCAACTGTTGAACTAATAATTTTTTAAAAATATATTGAGGAGACTTTTTCCAATCAAGACATGTAATGTATGTATGATGTTAATTATTTGATGTACTTTCACGCACTTTATGTCCTCTATGTAGTATAAGTAATTTTGTCAGATCAGACATCATGATTAAGTACGCTTACTTAATTATTATGTCTGGTCTGATGAAATTACTTGTTCAACTGATTTGATTGAAAAGCTTCGCTAAATGTGTGCAATGTTTAATTTGTATACTACTCCAGCGTACCTGTTTTTTTGCCTTGCCTTCGGAAAGCAGTACGGTGTTGATTCTCTGCACCAAATTTAGATCGCGATTACGTTGTTGTAGAAGAATAGCATAACACAAACAAATTGGTGGAACATGATTTCTATTTTTGTTCGCACATTTGGCAGTGGTCACGAGAACGTCGCGTAAGAATGGGCAGCGTTCTGACATCTCACGAAGGAGAGAACTCCATTCGAATTCAATCATGTTGGGGTAAGTTTTCTCTCTCAAGATTGATCCGTCTTTTTTGGCACAGAGCTTCGTACAGTCGTCATCTATTCCTTGGAGCAATTTGTACGTAACTTGTTTCTTCAAGGAGGGAATGTTCAGAACGGCTTCTGCGATACATGATGGTAATTTTGTTGCAACTTGAAATTGAAAAAGTTTGTTTTAATCAGTATTAACACTATAGACTTTACGTTAGGTACATTTTTTCTATTCACCTGTGTCATGTACGTTTTATAAATAGAGAAACGCGGATTTATTACAAACTCCACATTTTTTGTACCCTGCATGCTGCCATGGGGGGGGGGGGGGGG